GCAGAAGAGTTGACAGTTGAAAAGTTGATGGCTGTAGTAGAGAAGGCCATAGCTCCCAATTCTTTTCTCCTTTTACCCGTTGAAATATCATCAGGAACCTCCAAATTCTCAGTACTACCTGTCCACTGTCCTGCTAGGACCATGGACTGCACCAGGTCATTCATGGCTGGGATGCAAATGAAAGCAAATGAATCAGCATGGTTAATGTATTTGTATTTCTATTTTGTATTATAAATACTGTGGTTTTTGTCTATGAATTAATGCCAATGGACATAAAAAATTATAACCAAATGTTCATTTAAATTATGACATGCATTCAGCTGAATGAAATGAGTAGGCCAAAGGCTGATAAATTTCAATAAATACTTTTATCCCACCTCCACCCCCTTTAAAAGACAGAGGAAAGGAATTTTACTAAGTATGACTGCCATGCTATTGCGCAGCAATGTGCTAAAACTTTAATTAGCAGCCTTCACAATGTGGTTTTGTGGTGACAAAAATGGAATAGATAAAGGTAAGATGAAGAGCAGTTCTTATATAGCATCATTATTGAAAATGAAAGTCCTTGGTCAGAGCAGGTTACTGAAGAAATTACTCATTTTATGACTCAATAAGTATACCATTCAATAAAAACCTGAAAGAGATGATATCCAAAGTGACAGACACTTAATGTGATTATGTAATTACCCATGCCACATAAAAAAAGAAAATCCAGAATATTATTATTTAAAGAATGACAAGCATTTTCAAGGGTTTTTGGCCATTTTATTTATTTAATCTGGTTCATTAAAGGAAATTAATTTCTAATACTAAAAGTTTTGTTATATTCTCCTTAAGTAAACTTCTTTGGGAAAAAAATCTCTATGGCATAAAGAGGGTTTTTTTCTGCCAATTTTTAGAAAGCACTGGAAATTTACGAGTAAGTTACATGTATGACTAGAAATATGCATGTATATGTATAAGTGGACATATACATAATACAAATTCAGTGCCACTTGAAAAAAAAATTCTTCCAGCTCCTTATAGTAGAGGAAGACTGACCTCTGCAAAATAAGGAAATTGGCACAGTCCAGAGAAAGGTTAGTGAAAAATTAGTAATGAAAGCCAGTGTAGTCAGTTGAAAGAAGCTGAACTGTCATAAAGTCTTACACATGGAACGACGGTAGCAGGCCTTCATTTTGTCTTTATCCTTCGGTCTGTTCCTCAAAAAGGGCAGTCTTTTCAGTGCAACCACTTTAATGTCAGAGCATGAGGAAAAACAGAAACAGGGAAATGAAAGAAAAAAGGGAGAAGAACAGATGGGAGTTAAATGTTGAAATTAAGGACAGAAATGAATGTTTGAGTTTTAGCTATGTATGCTATATTAAGGCTATTATTCTCATGCTGCTGAGTGATAATGAAATATGAAATATGTACTCTGATATTTTAAAATACTTGGAAAAGCACTGAAGACAATGATGAGGAACATATACTTTTTTTTTTTTTTTTTTTTTGAGACGGAGTTTCACTCTTGTTGCCCAGGCTGGAGTGCAATGGCGCGATCTTGGCTCACCGCAACCTCCGCCTGCGATTCTCCTGCCTCAGCCTCCCTAGTAGCTGGAATTACAGGCATGCGCCACCATGCCCGGCTAATTTTGTATTTTTAGTAGAGACGGGGTTTCTCCATGTTGGTCAGGCTGGTCTCGAACTCCCGACCTCAGGTGATCCACCCACCTCTGCCTCCCAAAGTGCTGGGATTACAGGCGTGAGCCACCACGCCCAGCCTGAGGAACATATACTTTTAAAGTTTGGATTGGTTACAGTCCTATAAAAACAGGAACTGACTAGAATTATTTATGCAGGGATCAATTTTCCTAGTTAAGTTGTAAAGGTAAACCTTTAAAATGAAGGCTATTGGTGGTTCACAGAGTCTACATGATGAAAATGTACAAGGCTTTTGAAGTCTCTATTTTAGCTACTTTAACTTTTTAAACATTAAAATATTTATTTTGGAAAACAAAAATAACTTAGGAAAATGCACCTTCTACTACAGTATTTTATTATTATAAAGCAACAAAAATTAGGGTGCCCAGGAGATATTTAAAACAATCTTAAAAAACTTTAAGATTTCGAGGCATGGCGACTTCTGCCTGTAATCCCAGCATTTTGGGAGGCCAAGGCAGGAGGATCGCTTGAGCCTAGGAGTTCAAGACCAGCCTGGGCAACAGAGCGAGAACCCATCTCTACAAAAAATTAGCCATGTGGTGGTGAGCACCAGCTATTCTGGAGGGTGAGGCAGGAGGATCGCTTGAGCCCAGGAGTTCAGCCTGGGTGACAGAAGGAGACCCTCTCTCAAAACAAAACAAAACAAAAACACTCGAAAAAACCTTTCATTAGTTTATTACACCTTAATAAAGAAAATAAATTCCTTCTTGGTTTAAACTGGATTCTGATGCATTATTTAGCAGCACCACTGAAATAAACATTCTTTTGACCAAAGTATTTCTAAAGATTAAATAAACAATCACATTAAGTTCATTTTACAAAACATTGGTTGAGGGAAAGGGGAAAAAAAAGAGTATTTAGATAGTAGAAATAAGCATTAGCAATAAGCTCCAATAAACCTAAAAAATAAGGAGGTACCCCAAAGCAAGAAAAAACGAGAGAAAAGTATAACATTTTTTAGATATTTTGAAGAGCTTTTGAAGGAATTTGATTTTGTGAATAAAAGGATTATCACTAAAATATAGGAGTCATTAGGACAAAAATAAAAACGTTCACTAGAGTCACTAACCATTCTTAAGCCACATTTTAGTAATATTTAACTATAAAAAATTATTGTATCATTTTAGAAATGTAATTTAGGAATTAGGAAAAACAATTTGCATAAAGACCTAAAAACATATTATACACTGTTAACTATAAAAAATTATTGTATCTTTTTAGAAATGTAATTTAGGAATTAGGAAAAACAATTTGCATAAAGACCTAAAAACATATTATACACTGTCTATTTAATAACTACATTCTTTCTCAGTGTTTGCTGTCATCGTGTAAATAATCAAAGTTCTTCTGACAAACTGACAAGTATCATTCATTAAAGAGAGTGCAATGGACATATAGCTCTTTAACCTGTTTGATTGCTATTAGGAGCAGTCATGATTCACTTAAGCTTTTAGTTTGACCTATTTCTTTTCAAGCTTAGTAAACACAGCTGTTTTCAATGATTAAAAAGAAATGAACTGAAAGCAATATAAAAATGGACACTTAGATAAAACAAAGCTGAGTGGTTGCAGCATGCATATGTTGTCTTGTTTACTTTTAAATTATTTCTTTTTCTGTTTTTAATTTTTTTTCTAAGGACTGCTTTACTGACAGATACTCTTCCAAAATGAACAGTATAAAAGGAGTTTTATATTTGTCAGGAAGAAATGATTCTTCTTATAGTAATGAGTTTGTACATATACAATGTTCATTTCCCAAAGCATACTGAAATTAAGGGAACATTAGTATTTGTTGGGTTTTGGGTTTATTTTAAAAATTCTAAAACTGAACAATTGTAGGAAAGGAGAATATCACTTCCTTCTGATTCTTATTCTGGATGTTTCAGCAGAGAATATGAAATGATGACAGATTTATACTTAAAACAGACAAGATGACTTCAAAAAAGACTTTTGTGCCTTTCTTGTGTATGCTTATATCTGAACTGACATTTCTTTCCTTTAAAGCCAGGCACAGTGGTTCATGCCTGTAATCCCAGCACTTTGGGAGACCAAGGCTGGAGGTTCGCTTGAGGCCAGGAGTTTGAGACCAGTCTGGGCATAATAAGTGAGACCCTGTCTCTAAAAAACAATTAAATAAAACAACAATTGCCAGTGCAGTGCTGTTTTCCTGTAGTCCCAGCTATTTGGGAGGATGATGCTGAAGCAAGAGGATCCCTTGAATCCAGAAGTTCAAGACTGCGGTGAGCTATCATTACACCACTGCACTCCACCTTGCGCAACAGAGTAAGACCCCATCTCTTAAAAAAAATCTTCCTTAAAAAAAAAATAAGTATACCTATTACCATTTCTTTTTTTTTTGAGATGGAGTCTCGCTCCTGTCGTGCAGGCTGGAGTGCAGTGGCACAGGGTTGGGGGTGCAGTGGCACAATCTTGGCTCACTGCAACCTCCACCTCCTGGGTTCAAGCGATTCTTTTGCCTCAGCCTCCTGAGTAGCTGGGACTACAGGAGCACACCACAATGCCTAGCTAATTTTTGTATTTTTAGTAGAGGTGGGGTTTTACCATGTTGGCCAGGATGGTCTCGATCTCTTGACCTCGTAATCTGCCCGCCTCAACCTCCCAAAGTGCTGGAATTACAGGCATGAGCCATCACGCCCGGCCCCATTTCTTATTAAGTAAGATGTCAGATATTTTATATCCAAAAATAACAGATAAAATTAACTTATCTGCCACCTTTTAAAGAAAACTTGATCTCTCTAAAACAGTGATTACTTGGAGGATTTATGTAGATTTACTTGGTGGACAAAACCAGACAGCAAAAGACCCAGGGTAACCATAATTTTATGTGGGGATTTAGAATTATAAAACTGCTTTCTTGAGACATATATGTGTGTATATATATACACTCATACACATATGTATATATACACATATATGTACATATATATACGTGTGTGTGTTTATATATAGATACACATACACACAAATGTACATGTGTATGACTTTTTCTGTTGCTTACCTATGGATTCTACTTTTTAGACTGCTATACTTGCATTCTGAAATACATCCCATAATTTTATTTTATTTTTTTGAGAGGAAGTCTCGCTCTGTCACTCAGGCTGGAGTGCGGTGGTGCAATATTGGCTTACTGCAATCTTCACCTCCCAGGTTCAAGCGATTCTCCTGCTTCAGCCTCCTGAGTAGCTGGTGCACGCCACCATGCCAGACTAATTTTGGATTTTTAGAAGAGATGAGGTTGTCACCATGTTCGCCAGACTGGTCCTCAACTCCTGACCTCAAGTGATCTACCTGCCTCAGCCTCCCAAAGTGCTGGGATTACAGGCGTGAGTCATTGCGCCCGTCCTATAGCCCATAATTAATGCCTAATATCCTATACCCTAAAATACTATGTTTTCAGAGATAATTCACCTGAGGCCAAAACACTGTGAATAGTTTTTTCAGTGTTTTGAGAACTGCCCATTTGGAGAGTCTACCTCTGGGAGAAGCAGCAGTTGCATTTACCTGCTATTTCAAAAGAATGGAGTGTGAGTGTGTGAGCGTGTGTGTGTGTGTGTGTGTGTGTTCAATTAGTGACATTGGCGATAGTGTGAGAGGATTAAAAGTATCCTGTTCACATATTTTGTAAGAACTTTGATAGTAGTCAACTTCTTAAGACATCTTTAAATAAATTTTCTCATTTTCTTGGAATATACTTCCAAAGCTTTTACTTTGCTTTTACTGTTTAAGCATACTAGTAATGAAATTAAAAGGTTATAATTGTATAGCGCATATTATAATGTGGTACTTCTACATTTGTTTTTTGTTTGTTTGTTTTTCGTTTTTTTTTTTTTTTGAGACGGAGTCTCGCTCTGTCGCCCAGGCTGGAGTGCAGTGGCCGGATCTCAGCTCATCGCAAGCTCCGCCTCCCGGGTTCACGCCATTCTCCTGCCTCAGCCTCCCGAGTAGCTGGGACTACAGGCGCCCGCCACCTCGCCCGGCTAGTTTTTTGTATTTTTTAGTGGAGACGGGGTTTCACCATGTTAGCCCATGTTGGGATGGTCTCGATCTCCTGACCTCGTGATCCGCCCGTCTCGGCCTCCCAAAGTGCTGGGATTACAGGCTTGAGCCACCGCGCCCGGCCTACATTTGTAATAAAAAATTACATCACAAGTTTATATACAAATGTTTATCTCTTCAACTATTTTTTTTTTTTTTTGAGACAGAGTTTCACTCTTGTTGCCCAGGCTGGAATGCAATGGCACAATCTCAGCCTCAGTCTCCGCCTCCCGGGTTCAAACGATTCTCCTAACTCAGCCTCCCGAGTAGCTGGGATTACAGGCATGCGCCACCACGCCCGACTAATTTTGCATTTTTAGTAGAGACAGGTTTCTCCATGTTGGTCAGGCTGGTCTCCAATTCTGACCTCAGGTGATCCGCCCACCTCGGCCACCCAAAGTGCTGGGATTAACAGGTATGAGCCACTGGGCCCGGCCTAATTTTTTTAAATAATAGAGACAGTGTCTCACTATGTTGCCCAGGCTGGTCTTGAACTCCTGGCATCATGTGATCCTCCTGCGTTGGCCTCCCAAAGTGCTGGGATTACGTGCGTGAGCCACTGTGACTGGCCCCCACGTCTCTATTTTTATTTTGAGATGGAGTCTTGCTCTGTCACCCAGGCTGGAGTGCAGTGTGCAATCTTGACCCACTGCAACCTTCGCCTCCCAGGTTCAAGTGATTCTCCTGCTTCAACCTCCTGAGTAGCTGGGATTATAGGTGCAGAACACCACACCAGGCTAATTTTGTACTTTCTTTCCTTTTTTTATTTTGTTTTTGAGACGGAGTTTCGCTCTTGTTGCCCAGGCTGGAGTGCAATGGTGCAATCTCGGCCTCAGCCTCCCAAGTAGCTGGGATTACAGGCATAAGCCACCACGCCTGGCTAATTTTGTATTTTTAGTAGAGATGGGGTTTCTCCATGTTGGTTAGGCTGGTCTCGAACTCCCGACCTCAGGTGATCCACCCACCTTAGCCCCCCAAAGTGCTGGGATTACAGGTGTGAGCCACCGTGCCCGCCAGCACCTCTCTATTTTAGTAGATCCCTTACCAAGCAATCCTTCAATAATTTTCTTAACCTGTAATTTCTAAATCATTGAGTAACACCCCTTCAAATTCATACCTATTTTTCTTTGCTTCCCCAAATGTAACTGTGTTCCAATGTGACACCATCAAAGTATATGAGCAGAAACTTCATTATAAAATGCCTTATTATTCTGATTAAGTTATACATAATTATGAAAATGACATCTCATATTTCTCACTTGCTCCTTGCAACTGTTCTGTGAAGTATGAAGCAAAGGTAAAAGGCTTGCCCATATTAACAGAAATAGCAAGTGGCAGAGGTATTCCAGCTCTTATTTCAACTTTCTTTCTGCAATATTTTACCCCTCTGGCCAAATGATAGTATATCTGTGTATGATTTACCTCAGAAAATTGTGTGGCTGTATAATAATGCAGTACACAATTAATTTTATAATATGAAATTAAAAATAAATGCCACTCATCCGACTATTCCCCCAAAGGACTATTGAAGTTTTAAAAAACTAAATCTAAAGATTAAAAAATCTTTAGAAAGGATTCTAAATCAATACCATGTTTAAAGAGTTTAAGCACTCACTGCTGCTTTTCTTGGTCCCCAAGGTCTGGCCATCTTCTAAAGAGTTTGAACCTACTGAAGAACTATCTTGACTGTCTTGATGAGGGAGCTGAAGAAATCCTTCACTGGAGTCTGAGCGGGTAGGTGTTAATGTTAGAGATTTCTGGCGTTCCCGATTAATATCTTTCTTAGACTTTATCAATTTTCTCATTTTTAGAGTAATCCAGTTGCCTCTCCTAACAGAATTTTAAAAATTGTTATCAGTTTAAAATTCAACATACAAATCCTTCACAAAATTAGAAGTCATCACAATATTAGAAATAACGTACAGTTTTTTTTCAAAACAAGAATTCATAAAATTTGGTTAATGGTACCTTCTAGGAGGAGATGGGTCATAAAATTTGTATTGATCCATAATTTTCTCTTCTAATTTCTCCTTCTGACGTCTTAATTCATTTAACTTATCACTATAAAAATAAAAATTACCTTTTAGGACAGGCATCATATTTTGTAAAGCTATGAATATTAAATTATTTTGTGACTGTGATCTAACTTCTCCCCAAAACATAAAAAAAAACCAGATACTATGGTTGGCAACTAAGATTTTATCAGGTAGTTAACAATGGGAATTTTTCCATGTTTCTCCTTTTTAAAAAATTTACAACTTCTTTTTTCCTTTTTGGAAGAAAGGTGATCTATTACAATTTATACTAGCAAAAAATAAAAATATTTGGATAGTTTGCTTATAATTATAGATATAATGACTAATCCTGCAAACACATGTTCATGCAAATAGATTTTTTTCTTTTCGGCAGAATTACTTAGGCTTGATTTACTTGTAGAGAATCATTTCCTGACTCCAGCAATGCATGAGTCATCACATCCTAGTCTCATTTTTATATTCTCAGTAGTATTTACTATATAAACATCAAAGATCACCAAAATAATGTCTCTAAGAAAACCCCACAATGCTAAAGAATACTATTTACTTAAGAAACATTAGTGATCATTTACAATGAGGAAGGCATGAGGTATATATGAAGATGAATAATAAATAGCTTTGTTTATAATATAGGAGAAAGAAGATATATCCATAAATATAACATATAATATCGTTTGTATGCATACATATATATACACACACACACACACACAAATATATATATATAAAATGACTATATAATCCAAGGAAGTAGCAGTACCAAAATAAAATACTGTGCAAGTACAACAGGAAGGTAAATATATCCATCTTAGATCATGAAATAAATCCCCATGAAGAAAAAGGCCATTATTAGATAGGCTGAAAAGGAAAGATAAGAATGCTAAATTATATGTTGGTGTAGTGTAGGAAGTTAAAAAAATGCTAAGTTATGTTTAGCTTGAACATTATAGGCTGAGACGAAGTAGTGAGGGAGAGTTTTGGTTTTAGATTCTGCTCAGTAGGAAATCAGAAGTATTCCAAGTTTCATTACAAAGTGGTAAGAAATCTTTGTTTAAAGTACTTTAACCCAATGATGGAATAGGATATATCAGAAAGATTGGAGATAAGGCAGGGCGCAGTGGCTCAGGCCTATAATTCCAGTGCTTTGGGAGGTGGAGGCAGGTGGATCACTTGAGCTCAGGAGTTTGAGACCAGCCTGGCCAATGTGGCAAAACCTTGTTTTTACAAAAAATACAAAAATTAGCAGTGTGCGGCAGCGTTTGCCTGTAGTCCCAGCTACTCGGGAGGCTGAGGCAGGAGAATCGCCTGAACTCGGGAGGGGGAGTTTGCAGTGAGCTGAGATTGCGCTACTGCACTCCAGCCTGGCTGACAGAGCAAGACCGGAAAAAAAAAAAAAAAAGGATTGGAGATAAGAAAACATTCAGGAAGCTAATGGGGTAGTCTATTTGAGAGGGAAGGCTGAATTACAGTGGTGGAGACTAGGAGGAACTAACTCGAGAGATTCTGTAGAAGATGCCTTGTGAACAGATATTGCCAACAGTTATACCACGGCACAAACAGCACACAGCCTACATTTATTATTCACCAACTGCTTGGATCTGAGGCCCGCAGAAGAGTTGACATTTGAAAAGTTGTAAACAAGGCCATAGTTCCCAGTTGGTTTTTCCTTTTACTGGTTGAAATATCATTAAGAACCTCCAAAATCTCAGTACTACACTGCCATCCTGCTAGGACCATATGACAGAGGCATTTAGCTAGAAATGTCTGACATGCAAGATGGATATTTGTAATTTAAATTCAGTAAGTCATAATAGATAAAAATCTTTGGAAGTCAACTATTTAGACACAAGCACTTTCACCTGGAAATGTATTAGTCACCAACGGTCAGAATAGTTAAGACAACAAAGCTTTGGATAATGCCTCTGCTTAAGGGACAGGAGACTCAAATGTCAAAAGTTTTATATATACTCAAAGCTTCTTAACCTAAAACAAGGCTTCTTTTGAAAGCAAGTAAAGGAATATATACCCCAGAAAGGACTAAAAGGACTAAAGGTGGAGCCCAAGGTGTCCAGCCACAAATGTGAAATTTCTTTGAGGTTTTACATTTACTTTGAAAGTTTACACAATTTCTGCCTTTGTTCCATGATACACCTGTGTATTAATAAAGAAATAATGTTCCCTGCCTGAAATTTTTTGGTAAGACTGGTGCTTCAGAAAAATGTATGATGTATCCTGGTTTCACATGTGCCCTGGCTATTTATGTACATCAAGTCTGAAAGGCACAGACATACTACTTCATGTACTCCTTGAATAATCTGGAAAGTAAGTGTCATCTCTATTTTAGAGAAGAAACTAATGATCAAAGAAATGAAGTGACTTGTCTATGGTCACATAGCTAGTGAGTGGATGAATTGGGACATGAATTAGAAGCTGTCTGATTTCAACATCTGTGCTATTTCTATTATACTGTGGTGCTTCTCATTTGTGGGGCAAAGAGATCTATTGAGTAAAGATGAATCATCGTGTAGTAATACAAAGACTACCCACTGGGCCGCACAGGCCCAAATCTGAGTGTTAATAGATTGTTTAATTCTCTGGAGACACAATTTACCAATAATTAAGCCTTGCCAATTCTCTTTCACACGTCTTGCAGCCTGATCTCAACTCCTTTGTATGGCATAGAACAACCTTTGTAAACTGGGTCCTGACTGTTTAGCCACTTCTCTATTGCACCACTCCTTTCCTCAGTTTTGCTCCAGAAAGAACAATTAATTTTTAGGTCCTATACCACACCACAACATACTTTCATCACACCTCCATGACTTTGTATTGCAGCTCTCCTGGGCTGGTATGCCTCCTCAAGCAAACTCCTATTGAATCCATAAGTCTCTGCTCAAGTCTCATCTTTGGAAAGTTCACCTTGCCTCTCCCAGACTAAGATACTCCTGCCCCTATATGTGCTGTTTCTATGGCCTCCTACATATACTTCCATTATAGAATTACTGTATTTAAATGTTTATTTGTATTTCTCACTTTATATTACTAATTTCTTAAGAGCAAGATTCATGTGTTTTCATGAGAGTATTTCTGATTATTAGGAGAGTGCCTGGAATTTAAGCACTCAAAAATATTTGTTGAAATAATAATGTTGAAAATCAATAAAAATTAGCATGAATTTTCTCTGCCACTGGGTATGGCAATGATAAAATCATGAGTAACATATTTCAGAGTGCAAAATTATTTGGTACCTACATGTACTGTCTTTGTTCAACATGAAAAAGATCCTTGCTTTCCATATTCTGCTCCAAAAGTGTTCTGTTCTGTAGCATTAATGTCTGAATTTGATCTAGTAGATGTCGATTTTCTTCTTCTAAATTTCCTTTAAGTTGGCTTAGCAACTGTTTAAACACAAACATTTTTTTTAAAAAAACATTTACATTTAACATAAATCAACTGAAAAATATGAAGTACTACACAAAGATTTAAGTGTTCCACTGTTTGAACAATTAGATGATTGTACTTTTATCAGAGCATGATTATTTTAGTGACAATGATACCTACAGCACTGGGTTACATGATATATATGTGTGTGTGTGTATGTATATATATACACATATGTACATACGTATATACGTACACATGTGTATATATACATACACACACACACACACATATTAATTCTCACAAACACTGGGTCTAATATATAATAAATTATCTAACTCCCCAGACACTGCTTTCTGTCTTTAAAATGGTTTAACTTACAGTCCAAAAGCTAGATTCAAATATCTAATATTTTATTTCTATGAAATGTTAGACAAGTTAGTTCTCAGATTTATGAAATGAGGATAGCTCCACGCAACAAGACTGTTGCAAGGATTAATTAATATATGTAAAGTATCTAGTAGCATGTGTATAGCACACACTAAGTACTTAGTATGTCTCATAATTTCCCCATCTACTGTTTTCTTTCTTGTGAGACAGAATTTCGCTCTTGTTGCCCAGGCTGGAGTGCAATAGCCCGATCTCGGCTCACTGCAACCTCCGCCTCCCGGTTTCTAGCTATTCTGTCTCACCTTCCCGAGTACCTGGGATTACAGGCATGTGCCACAATGCCCAGCTAGTTTTGTACTTTTAGTAGAGATACGGTTTCTCCATGTTGGTCAGGCTGGTCTTGAACTCCCAACCTCAGGTGATCCACCCACCTCAGCCTCCCAAAGTGCTGGGATTACAGGCGTGAGCCACCGTGCCCGGCATCCATCCACTGTTCTCAAGAAACCTTAAAAGTCTGTGTGTAGTTTTTGTGGCTTGATCAAGGGAAATCAGGTAATTTAGTCAACAGTTGGTATTAACAGCTGGCATTCCTAGTAGTTGGGCTGCCAGCAGCATTGGGCCTTTTGTACGCAGTTAGTAGAAACTGGAAATATGCCTTAGCTAGGCCAGAGGTTCAAACAGAAGTTCAGAAGGCCCAAAGTAGTGATTCTAAAAGTTTGGCATCTCTTGTAGATTTCTGGGCCCGAGCATTCAAATTTGGCAGGTCTCGAGTAGAGCCCAGAGATCTGTATTAAAAAAGCAAAAGCAAATAACACATACCTGCCCTGCCTACACCACCCACCCCACCTCCTCCCAAAAAAAAACATTTTGAAAAATTTCAAAAGGTAGAGAGAAAATCAGAGAGAATGATACTATAATCATAAACAA